TTTGATCAAGCATGATCATGCCATCCCCATAGTTACCGACATGATAATTAAAATATACACAATTTAATATGCTTATCTACGTTTTAAAGCACAACCATTATGTATACGAATCTCGCTTTCTCTGATAAGGGAGTAGCAAGAATATTATTACAAACACCAATGTCATGCAAGCTAATGCCATAAGCAAGACCAAAGGATATCCTCTCAGCTTCGTTCCGGGCACATTCCACTAAAATATGAAAAACATCTTCAATGGAATCACAGTCAGTGCAATTCATGGAATTAACTTTGCCCATTAGGTAAGCAAAACTATTCAGTGGGATATGTCCGGAGCGCAGTCTCATAGCAGTTACAATGGTGTGTCTCGACAATAAACCAAGGATAACGGGACAAATTATTTTGGATTGTTTTATACCATATGCCTTTTACTCGAGATCGCTCATCAAAATATTCGTTCCACATGTTTCTACATTTATTTTTAATCATATAAAAAAGGTCGGTATAATACGGCAAACAAACTGTTGGGATACCCTCAGTCAAGGCATGTCTTTTTTTTTTGTGGGTGGAAAATCATCTAATGACGCCTTTCGCTCTGGGTAGAGCGTAAGGGAGTGTCAGACTTTTACTGACTAAAAACCATCCGTGTTCCTTCAGTGCCCTTACGTTCCGGAGCCGCGGTATCTCTTTCGAACAGCCCGCAGCCCAATCAAGGCATGTCTAGCGAGATAGTCTGCCTCTTCATTTCTTGTCAGGCCTACGTGTGAAGGTATCCATTGTAAAACTATTGTATAATTTTTTGTGGCTAGAGAGGAAAGTGACTCCAAGATAGTGTATGCTAACGGTGTGCCTCGACTATTCGAGGTAGTGTAGTGTAGAGAGTGTAGTGCACTCTTGGAATCCGTTAAAACGACATATTTGCCCGATTGAAAAGATTGAACATAAGAAATTGCTTCTGATATTGCTATTAATTCTAACATTATGGAGACATTTGAATCAATACGTAGTTTCACTGAACTACCCACTTGTAGGTCATAAATAGCTAGACCGCCACAACTACTTTCCTTTGAACCGTCCGTATAAATTTTGTAATAACTTGATATGTATTTATAATAAAACTGTTACACAGTTGTTGTATTATCAAGGAATTATAACTTTTAGCGTTGCTTACAGCATCTGTGTTAAACTTAATTATATTCGAATTTTTCATTGCTGACTCAGGTATCAAGTGTAAAGATATCTAATTGTGTACTAATATCTACAGCAGTATCTTTAAGGTAACTGTGAACTAAAATTAAAAGGGGCTTTTCTTTGCACCTCCAATAAGAATTTTGACTTAAAAAAATTAGGTCGTCCATAATGGGAATAATCTTGTGGTTAGAAAAGGGTTTCGCCTTTAACCAATACTTTCCGGCTAGATAAAGTCTTCGTACATTTAAAGGCGGTAGGTGTAGTTCGCACTCCATGACGTGTGACGTGTGATGGTGTTGTTTTAATAAAACCACAGATTACCCGCATACACTGAATTTTATCTTGCTCGTGTGTGTCTTGCAACTACTCTAGTACTCTTGACACAAAGGTAGATAAACTATCTAAAATGGAGCGCCCTTTGCGAAAACCTATAGTATCGGCCGATAACATGTTGTTATGTTCAACATACTATTCTACTTTTTAATCAATATATTATGTAGTATTTTACATACACAGGAAATCATAGATATAGGTCGCCAAGAAGAGTCAGATTGAGGATCTCGGTCGGGCTTTGGTATAGGTATTATGGTGATATTACGCCACTGCTGGGGAACAAAACCGGTTTCTAAAAAAATATTATAAAGCCTGACTAAAATCAATTTTGCATTATTCGGCAAATTATATAGCATTGAATAGGAAATGTTATCACTACCAATAGAAGTGTCTAATGCGCAAGCTATTGTCCAATTCGTGTCGAGATATCTGTGTCTCAATCTTAGGGTTATTTAAATTAAATATCGAATCCTCAGTGCAATAGAAATCCGGTGCCAGGCTTTGTAATAATCCAAGCGCCTTCTCTTTACTAATACCAGATCGCGGTACATAGCATCCCTTAAACCATTTCATTTTCTTCCATAAAACAGTATGAGATGTCGTCCCGTCTAATGAAGTGCAGAAGTCTTGAAAACTTACTTTTTCCTATACGAAGACTTCTCTGGCAATCCCTTATTTTCTCCTGCAACTTGTCAAAATTAAAGGGCGTGGGGTTACGTCGAAATGTTGATAACGCTAACCGTTTTCGGCTACTAACTTTGATAAGGAACTATTCCAGTAAGGTTTGGGAGTGAAATTTTTCTCGGGGTCAGAATTAATTTTAATATATGGAATGTGAATGTCTGCAGCTATATTAATCAACTCGATAAATGAATCATATGTTTTTTGTGAGTCTTCCGTGATAATAAAACCTTGCATAAGATTTCTATTGAGTTGCGGTACTTAGACCATCGGCCTTTTTGTAATTCCTGCGTACCGTGGGTATGGGTAGAGTATCTATTTGCATTGAAATTTTAATCACTAGATGATCGCTGCCAAACGTTTCATTAAGTGTGCCCCAATTAAATTTACACGCTATTTCTGAGGAAGCCAGTGATATGTCTGGCGAAGATTGTTGTACTGTATTATTCACTAATTTAATACGAGTAGGGTTGCCATCATTCAATGTTACGAGATCAGTATCTAAAATATTTGATCTAATTTATGAGACCAATTTGTGTGGGGTCCATTAAAATCGCCTAAAATAACTACCTTATTGTTAAAATCATTATCTTTTGAATCCAAGGGCAGTAAAAACTTATCAATATGTCGTCTGAAGTTAAAAAGCCAATCACGACTCCCATTAGTTAAACAATCATACTGCTGGCGCAATCTCCAACTAGTAATGGAGGCATTAGGCATTGCATCTTTGTTAGGGGTGAAAACCCATCTGCATTTTGATTCTTAATCTAGGATAGATGTAGATGTTTATGGGCCACAACACCCACTCACACACAACACCATCAGGTGGACTGTGTGCTCGTTTGTCACTCATATTCTATAAAAAAATCAGGGATATTTTTTAGAACTGTTTATTTTGACTATCTATATTTGATATATTATAATTATGTTTATTTGAGCCGTGGTAGCTCAGATGGTTAGCGCTCGATGTAAATTTCACAATACGCTAGCAAACCGGGTTCGATCCCAATCCCGGCACCAATGAAATTGTTAATTACAATTTTAGGTGCTGATTTACCACGTGCTCGGCGGTGAAGGAAAACATCGTGAGGAAACCTGTATGTCTGAGAAAAAAATATAATTCGAAGACATGTGAAGTTCGCCAACACGCTTGGGACAGCGCGACGGACAATTCCTTGCCCTAAAACCCTCTCAGAAATTAGACGTATATAGGATGTAACTTTAACTTTTAACTTTATTACGACTATCCCAAGTAATTTCCTTACGTAGTGCCCATCGCGTAAGAAAACAACTTACTATCGACCTTATTATATATAGGGCTGGCCTGGTATTTTTCGGAAGCTTTTTGTAATTTTCACTATTTTAGCCATTGTAAGTGGTAAATGAAAAAAGTGACTTTCAATAAGTATTGTTTATAATCTACATTGAATAAAAAAGTTTCTGTTTCTGTTTCTGTTAGGAATAATTGCGTAATTACACGTTCATAAAAATTGAGGTTCGCGCCTTAACAAACTAGAGGGAAATTGGGAAGTGATTTTTTTTTAATTTCAACCCTAACGTGTGATATATTGTTGGAAAGGTATTTGAAAATGAATAGGGGTTTACTAAAATCATTTTTTGATAATGTCAATAATTTCGGAAATAATCGCTCCAAAAGTAAAAAGCAATGTGTCCCCCTCCTCTAACTTTTGAACCATAAGTTTAGAAAATATGTAAAAATTCTGAAAAGTAGAACTTTATAAGGACTTTCTAGGAAAATCATTTTCAACTTGCACTTGCAGGAGCGCGGAGCGCTGCTGGAGCGCGAACATAATGGATACCCACCTTTAAACTCATAAGTGGGAACACTTATTGTGACGGACGGGAAACTACGGAACCCTACACTGAGCGTGGCCCGACACGCTCTTGGCCGGTTTTTTATATAAAAAAATTGACAGACGAACGAGCTAACAGTTCATTTGATGGTAACGTTGAGAGAAATAAATGCCTGCAGCAGTCTACAGACACTAACTTAAAACAAAAAAGCCGAGTCACCATGGAGATAAAATGCCGTACCGCCTCTACTCTATTCTACTCTAGTAGCCTAGATAATAAAAAAAAATTTAATTTTTTTAATTATCCATCTATCATATTATTTTATTTATGATGCATAATACCCTCTCTACTGTAACAAGTTTTGACCTTGAACGTCACATAATCTGTTACGTAGTCGTGGTGGTAACGGTAATTGTAAACATTTATGTTGCAGCGTCGTTGGCGCTATGAATAAATGTGGAATCACTTTACGATACCGTGATTCAAAAGTGTCTAGACTTGGGTGTTTCCACTCGTTCGTTTCAACGCGTTTATCTTTTAGTTTTGTGCAACATTCCGCTGATTGTGAACGTTTTATAGAACTGTTTATCAAACGGTAATCAGTGGCACACGATTACAGTGATAAAGTTTGTACAGTTCCATACATCACTTTTGAGGACTTGTGCTGTGTAAATTCGTGCGTCCTTAATCTTAACATTGAGTGAGTTTTGATATTTTAATATATTTCAGGGATGATAATTACAGTGTTATGTGGGCCATATGTCGTAACTTTAAAGTTTTATTACATAATGATTTAATTTAAATTAGAATACTTTAATTCTTGCTCTATCGACTTTTAATAAAATAATGTATAAATGATGATAAAGGTTGATTGACTTTAATGTATTTTTCGACAGAAAATGGCGCAAGAAAAGCCCACATTTGACTATCACGAGGAATCACAAGGGGAAAGATTAGCGCGTAAATCGAAAGAATCGCCTTTCATGGTTTTTGGTAAGTGGCTACAGCGGCTGTTAAATTTTTCGTTATTTTACATTTTTCATAGAGGTTATAAAATGTATTAAAACCTTTTCCCTTCTAAGAGAATTCATCAGACAATCTTGATGGTGAATAAAATGGCTAAGACATTTTTTTAAATACTTTATCTAACCGCACAGCGCAAAATCGAAAGGGAATATAATTCTTCAGAATACTCTTTAGTTTGTTCAGAATCGAATGAAATAGTGTTCAATCGAAAATATACTGTATTTTTATATCAATTAATGACGAAAATAGCAGACCGTAATGCGGACATGCATACATGTCCTCTGTAGTCAGCGGTCACAAAACGTGGACAGTCTCACATGTCCTCGGTACATGAGGGGTAGAAACGTTACTACTCATACCGTGATAGCTCCCGGATGCAACTCTGATTCGATTAATAATTAATTCGGCCTAAATAAAATTATTTATTGTAATTTTAAGTGCTGATCCGTCACGTAGGTACTCGGCGGTAAAGGAAAACATCTTGAGGAATCCTGCATGTCTGAGAAATTAAAAACATATTTCGAAAACATGTAAAGTCTGCCAACGACTTGGGGCAGCAGCGCAGCGGACATTTCCTTGCACTTGAACCCTCTCAGATATGAAAAGAGCATTGAACCCAGCTGTGGGGCGTATTTAGGCTGCGGCTAACTTTATTTTTACCTACACTAGGTACCTATCATGTATCATATATCATATCTTGTACCAATCATGGAGACGTTTAGCTTATATCTTATAAATTATCTTGAACAAATACTTAAACGAAAATAATTATTTGTCAATCATAAAAACACTTGTTCCGTATTGTATTTGGATTCACGGCTCCGCACTTCGCAGTCCACAGCATCGTAACCTCATAACCAAACGCTCTTTCGCCGTATTCTTTAGATATCGGTCTATATGCAATTTATGAATGCAAACCGTTTTTTTTTAAATAAATTTACCTTACTATTGAGCTCCCATATATGCATGGAAAAAATGTCGTCGTGGTCATTAAGTCCGTCAAGGAAACCTACTTACTAATAAAGTATTAAAAATTTTCCACACATAAAATTATGCCTCAGTCAAACACAATAACCAATAATTTGTTTTGATCTTTGTGTGATTTACGAATGTTTCCAATGCACAGACGTTCATGCTAGATATTATCATCATCATCTTGTTTATCCTGCTGTGACGTAGTTAGTAGATGTCTCACCAGGTGGGAGGATTTCCAATGCAAACTACGCAAACTTGCAGTTGTTAAATCGCACACTATACGCACGTAGTAATAGTAAGTACTCTATAGTAGTACTTACATATATGTTTTCACCTACTCTAGGAATATGTCGTATCGTATTTTAAACCAATGACATGCTGCCAGTGACGTATTTTAATCACATGCTTGTCTGGTGCAATGTTGCAACGATGACTAATACCGTTTCCCCGCCTTTGTGTAATAACCACAATAATAGTGTTACTAATGGTAGCCACACACGGTCAGTTAAACGGATCATTCCAACTGATCAATTTAAACTAAAACTGTTGATATTTTTTAAAATATCGGATTTTCGATATATCCATAAATAAACTTAAATTACACCCATATCCAGTAAAATCAAAGAATTTAAAATCAGTCTCCAAAATTAAGCAATAACTAAATCAATGTCAATACAAAATAACAATTCTAAAATAATAAACTTATATGTAAAACTCCGATATTAAAATATTTATATTGATCGATATATCGAAAATCCACTATTTCAAAAAATATCAACAGTTTTAGTTTGAACTGATCATTGAAATAATACTAGTTTTTACGGAATTTATCGCGTATATTTTACTTTTTAAATACCCGACGTTTCGAACGCTTTATAGCTTAGCAGTTGAACTGATCAGTTGGAATGATCAGTTGAACTGACCGTGTGTATGGTCCATATTACACTATTGTAGGGGTTTCCAAACTTCTGCAGTTCGCACACTAACAGGTTTAGTATTTTGTCTAGCCGCCCTAGCTAGTCGAAATAGGGCACAGTGATACAATAGGTAATTTTTAAAATTTGAAGACAAAATGCCAAGATAACTTAGTCTTAGTCCACACATTTTTTCTAAGCATGGACTTAGGCTTGACACCGCTACTCTCATTTCTTGTTCCAAATTGATCTTCGAGCGATATGAGCTCTTTATTACAGCTACAGCTGAAAGTCCGATTTGTTATATACCCGCGAATACGTATGTTTTTCCGGAGAGTGGTAAACATGAGTTTCTGACGCCGCGCCGCCACTCTTTACTTTTTACGGCGCACCAGGACGCGGACGCCGCGACGCGGTGGTCACTTTGGCAACTGCTGCCTTATTAACTAGCATCAGGTCGGATAAGTCTGTCGAGACACTTGCTTTTCAAACGAGCTCGTAATCTCGTAAACATTATGTTTGTTTAATTTTATCTTTTTACCTACTTTGGTTTATATTTAAAGGGATCATAGATTTTTTTAGCTTCGTTAAGGGTTATAATACAATAAATAAAATATAAAGAAAAAATTATCTACACAATTTTACAATACAGCAATCAAAATGTAAGTCGCTGACGAATGTAGTCATAACGACATCTGAGAAAATATTGTGACGTAAACCTATGTATTTTATGTTATCCATTTATCCACAATTTTTGAAAACCATAGGTTTGATGGCTGTTTCTTTTAGAGTCTGAAATACGATTAATATACTCTCACAGTTTACTAAGTAGTATGGCTCTTATTCTATCTGGTAACAGATACCCAGGGAAACAGGTATCTCCGCTGCCAAACAGCAGTTCTATTTCAAAATTCTACTCTTATTCTTGGCTCATATCAGTTTGCAGGATTAGGAAGCCAGTATGATTGTTGATTAGAGGCTACATACGAGTACCAAACACAAACGGTAATCTGCCAGAATACATTTAGATTTTTTAAATGGTAGAGCCACGCTACGGCTATATTACGTTTGCAGCACTAATACGTCGACCGAGGTTGGACCACGCTCTCACAGAATACCAGCATGAAATAGCAGCTTAATGCTTTTCATATGGTGAGTGTAGAGAAACGGAGACCCTTTTCTACTGGAAATGGAGCATTGCATCTCAGTCCTCAGGGGTGATAATGCATCTGCATTTTCATTCTTAATTGAGGATAAATGTAGATATCTATGGGCCACAGTATTCACTTGCCATTAGGTGGAATGTATGCTCGTTTTTCACCCTTATTCTATAAAAATACCCGAAAATCACGTTGTTTTTTTTATTCAAATATAGACAACTATTAGGATTGAAACATCGCTAACGTCTGGTACGTTAGCGGTGTGTAAAAAAGCAGCTTACTGCTGCTGTGTACGCAACACATACATTTACTTTTTTCGTACGCATCTGCATTTTGATTCTTAGTCGAGGATATATATAGATGTCTATGGGTCACTGCACCCACTTACCACCAGGTGGACTGTGTGCTCATTTGTCTCCCTTATTCTGGAAAAAAATACTTAATACTTACGCGATCGTTATGTTAAAATATTCGAAAATTCAAACTTGAAGTTTTTTGGAATAATTTATTTAGCAACACAATGTTTTTCCTAATACCGAAATAACCACATTTTTTTTAATTTACAGGATTGGCCGGGTTAGCAGCCGCAGTGGGATATGGTGCTTACTCGTTTAAAAACCGTGGGAAGATGAGCACAAGCGTGTATCTAATGCAGTTCCGTGTCATCTCGCAAGGCATCGCCGTGGGCGCCATTACATTAGGCATGGCCTACACTCTTTATAACAACCACTTCAATAAATCTAAAAAGAATGACCTCAGCATAAGTGGAAATGTTACCCAAAGTCAATGAGCATTAGAATTTAGATTACTAGTAAGGAATGTTCCATAATTTATTTATTACGGCTCTGTTACGTAGCGGGTTGGCATGAGTTGCGACGCTGAGCGTCGCGGGTTCAAATCCCGCACGAAACAAGTACTTATATAGCCTACAAATAATTGTTTCGTGTATGGATATTTGTCCTTGTGCAATTTGTGTATATAAATAGTCTCCACCATACAAGAAAAATTCTAGAGTGTGGTACTTATTTTTAAGATAATTAAATAATTGAACATTAACTTCGGTACTATTCAAATTATTAATTTTACAACCTTAAATGTAGACCTACCTAAAGCATCCTAATGTATTAGAGTTGAAGTTTTTGCAGTTCATGAAAACCGAATGTAGTTACAAAACCAAAACCAATTTAAGCTTGAGGTTGACTATGAGGGTTATGAATGGCTGTCACAAAAAAATGCATTTTTGTAATAATATCTATATTTAAATTAATGTCATTCTTATACAATTAAATCAAACAGATATAATTTCATTTTTATGTAAGTCACGGTGAACAATAAATTATACTTTGTTACAAATTATGGTATATTGTTATTTGTATGAAAAATATTCCTTGTCACTTATTCCTATAATTCCTTGCCTGAGCCTTATATAGTGAGTACAACATTATAGTGCAGTAACTGTACTACAGTATAGTATAGTATAACTTTTTACATACCCCATATTGTTTGGTGGGTGTCGTAAGAACGAGACAATGGAGGGATAAATTAGGAAATGGGCAGTATTCTTATAAAAAATAAAAACTGCAGTTACCAAGCACTGTAATAATGGTAAAAATCAAGCAATCAACAATAATTTATGGGGAGGCCTATGTTCAGTAGTGGACTCGACAGGCTGTAAATGAATGATGAATTCTTTAAAAGATTTTATACTGAATTTATTTATTAACAGTACTTCTCGCTATTAAAAATATTTTTAACCTGAAATATGTTAAGACTAGCAATCCTTCCCGCGTTCGCACGGCTTACTGACCCTACCAGGTCCAAATATGAATATAAATCATCCAAATTTGAATATAAACCATCTAGGGACCCATTATAACACAAAAAATTCATCAAAATTGGTTGAATGGTTTCAGCCTATTACGAACATAGATAGAAATATTTTTTGGGTTTTATATAGATAGATTACACAAATAAGAGCGCAAGTAATATTTTATAATTTATTAATGCTTTTGTTAAAAAAAACATTATACACTGGATTAAATATGGTAAACAAACAACAATTTAAGTTGGCATAATAATATAGGATTTTGCTCTTTAAGCAAATTTTGACTTAGTTTTAATGAACTCTTATTCTTATTTCTTTCCTAAGAACCATCACTGTACATGAACTAACTCACTAAGTATCAAATTTAATCAGTCCACTAAGTATCAAATTTAAACAAAATATCACATTTGAATGTGCATTTTAAATAAATATATATTCATCAAAAATTATATCAAATTAATACTGGTTTTAACAAGAGGGGAACTTCATATAAAATTGTAAGTATAAATTTTATTTTAGGTGGACTATTAAGATAGATTTAAGAAAAAAACTAGCAAATTATAAATGAGTGATTTAATTATGCATTTGAAATCTACGTATTGGAAGAAGGGACCCAAATAATATATGTTGCACTACAGGGAATTTTGCAAGAATTTCCTTTTTATACATCTTTATAAGGCCTTGATTTATTTTTGACCAAGATCCAACTGCACTAATACTCCATAACTGATTGGAGTGCTCAGCAAATGGGCCTTTTTTCACTTCTTTTATATATTTAATGCATGATAAAAACATATATTCATCTGAGTATTTATCTATTACTTCATCTTCTAAAAACTTTGAAGGAGGGTATATCTTTGGATGATCTATAAGTTGTGAACTTCCCCATATGAATGGCACAAATTGGTAATCATCTAGACTCCATACACCATGGCTTCCTGCTGGCTCCATCCTGTATGTCTTCTGAAGTTTCCTAGCAATGTTAAGATATTTATTGAATATCATAAATACTGTTGCAACTTTATCCTCTTGAACAAGACAACCTATTTTGTACAGACAACATAAAAACATGATAAATGACATCTCATGTCCTGTTCCATAATCAATTCGTGTAGCATTACCAAAACTTTCTTCAAGGTATGCTTTAACTTCTGGTATGGCTAAGTGAATATTTTGATCTAATGCATCTTGAAGGTAATGCGTTGAATTACTTTTAATTTTATGAAGCCAGTCTCTGAAAGCAGAATTTCCAAATCTTTGTGGTTGCTCAATCGGTGGAAAATCACTAATCAGTTTATCAATCTTTTCTAGCATGTCCATAATTTTTGTAACATTTTCTGATATCTTACAGTCTACCGACAGTGGCTTCCCCTTGATTGCCTCATTGAGAGTGGCAATGAAACCAGTATATTCCATATATGCTTCAGATTTCTCCCATATTGTCATGTCTGTGATAGTTTTTACTGCCTTTTCAGGTTCTAAGAAACAATGGTTAGAAGGCAGACATGTAGATTTTTCATTCCTTGCTCCATCTCCAATAGGATTTTCAACACTCATCTAAAAGACAATAACAAAAAAATTCAAGTAGAAAATTAAAAAATCTTTTTTCACGATTATCATAGACAAGTTCATTGTTAGAATTCCATAAATTTTCTATTTGTCTATTTGAAAATTTGGAGGATCCTCTCAATCATTTTAACAAACTTAAAAACCACAACTGTATAAGGCAATTAATAAATCTTATTAAAGTACATACTGTATTTCATATACATAATATTATTTCTATGAAGGTCAGTAATGTCAAACGTAGGCTGTGATGTATTTTCAGTAAGTTAGTTACAAGTAAAAAGCGTCATTCATTAAATGTGATATAGTATATACAAACAATGGACAGAATATTAAGAGGAATTATGAGGTATCGCGTTCTAGACCGAGCCATCATGGTAAAACAATTCCAGGAAGTTAGAGATAACCCTGTTGTAAGTATATGCACTAAACTAACCTTATTTCTATGTAATTATAATTATAAAGTAAAGACTATTATTCTAAGTTCGCATTAGTTATTTAATTGTTTGAAAGAAAACTTATCTGCAAAGCAGTCAAAATTTAATTATGATTTCTAGTCGTAAAGTAAAAATAAATTTTACTATTGACAATTTGACCATAGATTACTGTGTATATACTAGAGAAATTTGACATTGACAAATGCAAATGATCAATTATTGTTGTTACGATTCGTCAACTAAGGCCGACAAATGTCTGAGACCCTGCAGTCTAGTCTGACGTAAATTTTCTTAAAGCATAAACCTATAATTAGAACTGCTCAGTTCATTGATAAAAACGAGCTAAATGAGCTGTCCCAAAGTAGTAATTCGTCTCTTTTACGTATCACCAAGTAAAATATTTTTCTCACATTTGTCATTTCTTCTTAAAAAAGTAAGAAAATAATTTTGTAAATTTTAGACGTCTATTTTACACACGTGTGTCACACACGCGCGTGTGTGTATTAACAGATAGGTAATTATTTCTTAAGACAATTTTGAAAAGTGAATGCCTATCTATAAACATATATTTGTAATCAAATTTAATACAAATCTCCAGTCACTTCGGCGTTTATTCAATAACATTTCACCTAATTTCTCAAAATGCGCCATACTAAGCAGAACAATGACTTTCTGTCTGCTCTAACTCTAGTCTCCAACACAATATATTACACTACTCTATGGTTATACAACACTAGAGGAGCAAACAACATTACCGCGCGTCGAAAAAAGTGTAACCACTATCCAAACGCGGCGACGTAGCTTTGAAACTAATAACAATTTTAAATAAACATATATCTATCTCACTTACACAAGTTGCGAAAACGATATCGTCGCTAAGATTAGATAAAGATAGACACACAAACATACAATGGCGGGTTGGTGTGGCTTACTATATGAAATTTTACCTAAAAGTATTTTTATTGTACTAATCAAACAATATAAAATAGGTAATAAAATATAATTCATATAAAATTTATATGAAATTATAATTAATATAAAATTATTAGTAGAAAATAAGTAGGTAATAAAATATATTTAAAAGATAATACATGAATAAACTAAAATAAGAACAATTATTATTTTGTATGAAAGTACGTAGTTTTTATTTTAATTTCCAAAATATTTAATATCAGAGGTAACAAATTAAGTTACTTCATTAATTATATAGTCTCCCATTAATGTAGGATAATCACAAATGCGCAAAAGTGGCAACATTGAACCTAAATTTGAGGTTTTTTTACTTTTATATGAAAACAAGAACTAAAAGTTATGTGTTGAAAGTGATTCCGCTCGATTTATTACGTTTTTGTGACCTTGAATAGCATTCTTTCACTACGCATTTACCCATTTTTTGTCGCGGTTCAACTCTGTCGGCGTCACATTGAACACTGAACTTAGCTAGGCATATGGCTGTGGTCATATGTGCAGTGGCAACGCTTTGACGCGGTTAATACTGATCTAGTGTAATGTATAAATCAATGCTAGTCTCATGATCCCCATTACCATTACTGCCTATTATTAATCCTGAAACAAAAGTGAGCTAATGTTATAATTTTGCCAATAAAATATACTCTATACTAACGGTTGTATCACATTGTTATAATATTTACTATTATTTACTGAGACATTAGATTTGTTTTACTACAAAATTACAAAGGCATTCACTAATTCTATCCTACTTTATTTAAACTTTTGTTTATAATGTGATCCAAAAAGTGTATAAATCATTGCGATGGGACCTGATCTCAGACCAACAAAAAAGATAGAACTCTACATACATTTCAAGTGACGCCGAAATCATGTTCAACATAATGTAAGAACACACATTCATGTACAAATGTGCACCCTAAAGATGTTGGTTGCAAGAGATTTTAGTTTGTCATGAGATTGGGAGCTGTCACAGAATATCTTGTGCTCTTG